AGCGAGCAGGCGTCGTTTTGCAAATTTTCGAACGAGCTGAGCAGCAACAGAAAAAAAATTGCGAGCGAGCCGAGCGAGCGGGATGATTTGGTGCGAGCGATCGCGAGCCTACGTCCTGACATTGTGCGAACTGGAGAAGTTTCCTGTACAGAATTACATTGACCGACCAGAAAACGGTCTTAAACCACCGTCACCTTTGCGCTTTCGCGCGAAGGGAAACTTTAAAAAAAATTAAAAGCTAAAGTTTTCTTTCACCTGTTGGAACTCGGGACGTAATCACGTAAGTAATCAATTGCCTGATTTATAAAAAAAACAAGGTACATTTCAAATTTCAAACATTCTATTCTAATTATTTCAAACTAAATCAAGAGAACCACATCCAGTTAAAAATTACTGAAAGGTACTAGCGAAAAAATGAAATTGTTAAGAAATGGACTACCTGTACGAGGTATAAGTCTCGTATGGAGGTACTGTATAAGTGGTCGTCTCTGGACACCGTATTTTACTTACTGCGTTTTTGTGAGTGTAAAAATTTTTATATTAATATGATTCGTGCAACAAATTGATACCTAAAATTTTTGCCGATCTCTCGAGCGAGCCGATTTGCAAAATTAAAATTACGAGCGAGTAGGGCGAGCGGAAGCAAAGAAAAATCTTAAAACGAGCGAGCCGAGCGAGCGGCGGTTTGGGCGCGAGCGAGCTGAGCGAGCAGCAAGTTTCAAAATGCTTAAACGAGTGAGCCGAGCAGCACTTTTGCTGCTCGTGCAGGGCTCTAACTCGGTTACCAGCTTCCAAAAATTACCATAGCAAATAAATTGTGGTTACCGTTGGGGACTGTTCCATTTGCAAGATTCGCTTACAAATTTACAATTAATGAAGTCCTTACTCTTACTGACATTTCTTTATTGCCTTTTGTTCTCACATTAGCCAGCAAAATTGAGGAGCACCTTGCACTGCATCATGCCTAATGTAGCACTGAGAGTAAAGCGTCCCTCTGCTCGCAAAGCAGTGTCGTCTCCAGCAAAGTCTGGCTCCTCGTCGTCACCCGTGAAAGTGTCACCAGTGAAATCCCCAGCGTGGCCCGTAAAACCATCAGCATCTCCCGTGAAAGCTGGATCGAGCTCGTCGCACAGTCCCGCGCGAGCTAGCACGTCACGAAACAGCGTGTCTGGAACTCCAAAATCCAGCTCGCGGCACACGCCGAACGTTCCGAAGCATACACCAACAGTGGTGTTGCGAAACACTCCCACGATCTCGACTCCAAAATCCATTCTGAAGCGTTCGCCCAAAAAAGACCTGAAACGCCTGAATCCCGATGGTTCAGCCGTGAAGCCCAAGAAAGTTGTTTTGATCGAACCGGAAAAGAAGAGCAAGCCTAAGGCGAAACCGAAGAAGCCTGCACAGGAGGAGACGTCCTACGTTGTGGAAGCAGTTGTTAGTAAGAAGAAGGAAAATGGGGAGACATTCTACAAAATTCGCTGGGCTGGGTATGGATCGAAGGATGACAGCTGGGTGAGTGAGAAAAACTGCTCGTGCCACTGGGCAATCAAAAAGTTCGAAGAGGAGAAAAAGAAAGGCAAAGACTCCAAAGAGAGCAAGAAACCTGCAGCAAACCAGGAGCCGGAGAAGGCCAAGAAGCGCACGCAGACGAAGGGGAACACGTTTCCGAACAGTAAGTGGCTGGGAAACATCGAGCTGATAGTTTTTAAGAGTTACTCCTCAGTTCTCACGATACTTAAGATATTTTTAACTGAACCACATCCAGTTAGATAATTCGATTTAATATTTTTAATTTGATGAATTATTAAATTTTTTTCTTTTCGAGATATTTTCTCATGGTATCGTTAGGGTTTTGCGGGATTATTGTTTTACATTAAAAAATTACCATGTTATTGCTGGTTAATGATTTGTATACGAGTAGCTCAAACTGTGTGGCAATCATTTTGGCGGTCTTTGGTTATGATAAGGTGTGAAC